GATAAGGTCGGGGAACCGCTGTCTTAGTACCATCTAAAACCCACTGCCGTCAAGTCGATGCCGACTGATAGTGACCCTATAGGACAGAGTAGAACTGCCCCGTAAGGTTTCCAGGGCTGTAGTTTTACAGAAGCAGACTGCTACATCTTTCTCCCACGGAGTGGCTGGTGGGTTTGAAACTGCTGACCTTTCCGTTAGCAACCGAGCACTTAACCACTGCACCACCAGGGCTCTTTGTTTTAGAACAGTGGTTCCCAATCCTGGCTGCACATTAGAATCACCAGGAGGACCAATTACATCAGAATCTCTTGGAAAGGGACTCGGGCATCAGTATTTTTTAAAGCTCCCCAGGTGATCCCAGCGTTCAACCAGGGTTGAGATCCACTGCCCCAGAGGGTGGGAATTATGTTCCCTAAAATGAACTGTAAGCATTGGAGACAATTGGTGTGATGTAGTAGTTATTTAGATGCAAGGCAGGTGTGGAGGCAAGGGTCTGGTGGACTTAAGGCGGAAAATGTTGGAGTGGAGGTGAGACGAACGAGTGGTATCCCTCTAAAGATTCAGTCTCTAAAGTATGTGATGAGGGAGGACAAAGGAAGACGCGCAGAGGTGAAAAGCTGTAATGTTCCCTCTTGCCTTCTGCAGGAAAACTAGGAGAGAAGCGGCACTTTCACATAAACTAGCCTGCACTAACGTCCCTTCAGGCAGAGTTGATTATTCTCCTGGTTATAGATGAGGACGCTGATGTCTAGAAAGGTCGCTCAGCTGGGAAGTAGCACAAGCAAGATTCGGACCAGGTCATTTAAATTACACAGTATACATCCTCCTTCAGGGCTCCCCTATGCCAGTTCCCCAAATTCTGGCTTCTTCAAGTGTTGTTTGATGTCTCACCTGTTACGTTTTGTTGTATTTGCCTTTTTGTTTGGAACAGATAAAAAATAATGAACCTTTGATCAACGTGCTTTACAAAGTGCTGAAGAAGTCAGCACGGGGCTCTCGGCCCAGGAGAAGCGTAAGATGATCTGATCTGTGTCTCCAAGCTCAGCATTCCATTGCTTCTGGCTCGGGGCCGACTCCATCACTTGCTTAACCAGGGGCTCTCCTGACCACCCCCAGGCTTCCTGCAAGTCATTTTGGTTTATTTTCTTTGTGTTGAAGCACTCTTCAGCATTTTGGCTGGTGCACCAGGCTGAGCCTCTCATCTGTGGTGTTCTGTGACTCCATCTTTTGTGCTGCCAAGGGGAGGGGGTGCTTGCCTGGCTTGCCACCAGCTTGTGTCGTGTTTCCATTCTCGCCTGTTTGCCTCCATGAAGAGGGCTTACCTAGACAGAGACCGGCGTGTTCTGTGGAGTTGAGCATGAGCTTCTTGGCGGGAGGGTGGAGACAGCCATCACTGGTCCCTTTGGAGGAACCAGGGTATCCTCAGTTTCCATTGTGGCCCTGGGATTTAGGTGACTCTGCTTTGGGGCAGGGTATGGATAATCTAGAGCTGGACTAGAACAAAACTGTCCCCGCCTTGCCCCTATGACTGATGCGGAAGTAGTGACTGAAACATGGCCAGGTCTCATAACATTCCAAGAGAGGCTGCAGGTTGGGAAGCAGGTGCTGCGTCCAGCCATTTGAGCCCCAAGAAGGTGTCTTGGGATGTAGTGGAGGTGAGGTAAGATGGCCTTTGACTCCTTTCTGATGCAAAGACTCTTGCAAATGGACAAGTGCCTCTGTGACTTTTTTAAAAATTTTTTTGTCACAGAGATGCTGGGGAAGCATAGTGCATATTTTAAATTTATTTAAACATTGCTGTCACAAAGCTCAGTTTTCAGAGGAAAATTAGATGTAATATACTACTTGTAGGTAAAATATTTCTTAGTAGCTTTGTCTCTATGGACCAGAGCTAAATTCAGAAGCTTCAAGGGCCCCAGAGCTGTGTAAACAGTAATCATGAAACCCGTGGTCTAAAGCTCATAACCGTTTTACTCCATACGAAGAGGTCTCAGACCCTTAGCAGAGCCAGCTCACCTTATGTGATACACTCACTGACTCACTAAGCAAACATGCCCAAATATCCTCAGTACTGCAGGGCCCTGGGCTGGGCTTTGAGGATACAGAGAAAATACATCACAGTTCCCACAGCCAGCCCTAATTAAGTTACTGTCCAGTGAGGAGAGACAGACGAGCAAACAGAATATTCTAGTCTGATGTGCTAAGTACCACAGCAGTGTTAGACACAAAGTGTGGGAGGAATACCCTCAAAGGCTGTCCAACCCAGTTACAGGGAGGGGACATAAGAAAAAGCCACATGTCACCTCTGTTGAGTTTTTAATTCTGATGCATGTAATCATTTGAATTCCTAACTCACAGCAATTTAAAAGCAGCACATTGGAAGGGGACAAGAGAAAGTTCCGTCTTAGAGAAGAGGGAGTGCTAATATCCCAAGAGCGAACAGAAACAATATAAATTAAAACAAAGTGAACGTACAGAAATCTGGGAGGATTAATAAAAAGTCCTAAACACTAGCTTCTAAGAGATTCTATATTACTCATTTTTATAATGATACTGATTTATCAAAAAAAGGTTGAATTTTTATCCAGTATTTTATGAAGGCAGGAAAGGACATAATTTTAGAAAGCTTTCCATCAACAAGTTTCATTTAAAAGATTTAGCTTTCTTAAAATGCCCTTTTTTTGTGTAGAATACCTCATTCCTTTCCTGATGGTGTTGGATAAATGAGGCATTGCTCAGTTAGATTCTCTGCGTTGCTATTTAAATGTCAAAGAGAGATCATCTGTAAGAAGCTTCAATGAAATAAGGAAAAGAGTTTGTGTTGAGGGGAAAAGTCCCAAAGCATATCTCAGTTTGAAAATGATTTCCACCTGGGAAATGAGCCAAGGGTCAGCCCATCTGGAGAAGAGACAAGCTCGTTGTGACCCAGTGAAGACATCATTGCCTTCATCTGCTTTTTCCCCAGGTTCCCCTGAGGTTAAAAGCCCAAGTCCTGCCTGGGAAGTTCAGCTGTTTGTAGTTCACTAGGAAGACCTGGTGATCTGCTCCTGTAAAGATTACAGCCTAGAAGACCCTATGGGGGCAGTTCACTCTGTCACATGGGGTCACTATGAGTCAGAACTGACTCGATCGATGGCACCCAACAACAACAACAACAGATTAGTCCCACTACCTCCTCCTCTGCACTCCTCCTCCCGTCTTGGCACAAGGCAGCACAGTCTGTTTTGTTTGTGGGTTGTTGCAGTGGTCCATGTGTTCTGTGACGGTGTGTATACATGTTTGTACACATAATCTGCCTGTTTGAAGAGCAGAATTTGGCTAGAGTTCTGCTTTTTTCAGGAACTCTACAGTGCTAATCTATATGGGTTTCCCTTTGAATCATGCAGCAATTCAATAAGCATTTGCTGAGTGCCTTCCAATGTGCCAGGCCTTATGATGGGGGCTGGCTTTACTAAGATAAGTAAGACAGTGTCCCAGCCCTCTGCTGGGGAGCATGGGAATGAGTGGGGATGGGTCTGCAGCCCAGAATAAATCTTCAACCCAAACTTGGAGAGTTCATCCTCCCTTGACCTTGACGTTTGTATTTGCTGATGATGATTCTCAGGAAGAGGAGCATAGGAGAGTTGGGTACCTGAGTGACTTGACCTCTGAGGAGAATGTTTGCCAATATGTTTCTGTTCCTGATTCACACTCACAAACCTACTGGACCTCTCAGATGGAGGGGGTAGAAAGTGAAGGCCATCTCTCCAGCAACTGTCTATCTGTCCACACTGGAACTCTCTGCATAGTTCACACCCCATATCTCTGGTTAGCTCCACCCTCATTTCCCTGAACACATCAGATCTGCAAAACGGAGTTCAGTGAGGCAGTCTGCCCTACATGGCACAGATTAGACCTGGCTGACCTGACCTGGTCTTGGCCATGGAGATGCATCTATAAAAAAGTGCTCCCCCCAACCCCAGCTTTTGACAAGAAGGAGATTTGGGGGAAATTAAAGCATAGGATAAAGAGTTAGATGTAGCATCTTAGGGGTCAGTGAGAGATTGGATGGGAAATGCTGTGAAAGTCCACTGGCCGATAGTTTAGATAAGGAGGCCTGATGGCGCTGTGGTTAAGTGCTCAGTTGCTAACCAGAAGGTCAGCAGTTCAAACCCACCAACTGTTCCACAGGAGAAAGATGTGACAGTCTGCTTCCATAAAGATTACAGACTTGGAAACTCTACTCTGTTCTGCTCTGCCATGTAAGATCACTAAGAGTTGGAATCGACAGTGATGGGTTTGTTTTTTTTGTAGTTTAAATGATTTTTGTCTTTGTGGTTTCCTTCCTTGAGAAGACAGGGTAACTTGTAATTTATACAAATATGGCATGGCCTCAGTTATTCAGGGATCAATTAAAAACACTAGCTAGGAATTATCCAGGTTCCTTCTTCCCTTGGCCAGATCCTGTTTCCAAATAGTGTAGGGTGAGGAGGGTCCCGCAGTCAGCTGACCTCACTCATGGGGAAGTGGGCTGCTTGTGGCTTCTGTAAACCAAGTCTTTACAATGTTCAGGGGATTTGCTTGTTCCCCCTGGCCCACCCACCTCACTACCCTGGGCACTGGTGATGGACTTCTGTAACTTGTGTTTGTCCCCAGGTTCAATAGGAAAACTCTGCTTATCAATGGCAAATCTTCCAAGATTCATACTAGTTTATCACACTCATTTTGGGCAAATATATAGCTTCTACAGTTGATGATTATGTAACTTGAAAGTCTGTATTTTCTTCACTTAGAGAAATTTACAAGTGCTACTAGGATCACAGAAAGATTTTGGTTTTTCCCTAAGATGAAATAGGCATAACAAGTGAAGCGGGTATTGCCTGAGTTTTTCCCCTTCCATGCCATGACTCTTCCTGCCACTGCTGAGATTTCCACACTCATCCACTGTGGGGTGAACTTTCCTCCCTGTGTCTCATCCCAAACACTATGGTTAAATCTCCTTTAAATTGTTCACCTCCCAGATGACAGGCCGGGACCTTCTCAAGGATCGAAGTCTGAAGCCAGTGAAGATTGCAGAGAGTGACATTGACGTGAGTGAGCAGAGAGACAGACTGGCCCCCCAGCTGCCTCCTGCCACCGGTCCCGGGGTGGGGAGCTTCAGGCAGGGTTTGGATGGTCCAAAGGCTTTCTGATCACAATCCCAAGGCCATACCCTTTCTCATCAGCCCAGGCCCTCTCCAACCTGTTCTTGCTTACAGGTCAAACTAAGCATCTTCTGCGAACAAGACAGGATTCTCCAGGACTCGGAAGACAAGATACGAGCCCTCAAGGAGAACAAAGTATGCATCAGTTTTGTCTAGTCTTGGGCTGAATGGCAGAGGGTTTTTTCATCCTGTTTTCCCTCAGTCATAGACTGGACTCTTGAGTTAGTACTGAACAGCAGGTGTCAGCTTTTCCAGAGCAATGTGTTTGGGTTTAAAGGGTGCTTCTTGGGGGTTTCTATCTGACCTGGCAGAAACTTTATAAGGAGACCCCAGCCCACTTGCTGTAAATACCACTCCCTCCACTCTTCTCTGGCCCTCCTCACACTGGAGGCCCTGTGAGGTGAGCCTGGGAGAGAAGGACTCCACTGACTTGTATGTGGTTACCTCAGACCCCTGAACACCCCAGGAAAAGGGGACTGCCTTGGAGAAAGTAGCCGCAGTCATAACAGAGCACAGGCCCTCAGCTTGCTAAAACTTGTCTCCTCCTAGGATCTGGGCTGTGGGAGGAAGCAAGTCTGGATGGGAGAGCAGGAATGGGTCTGGGACTACCAGTGTCTCTTGCCTTGGGGATAGGATCCTTAAAGTGGATTTTATTTTTTCCATTTTAAAAAGGCATTATATTTATAATACTAAAAATTTATGGCATACTCTTTTTCCCAGGAGCTTAAAGAGTTTTACATCTATTTGATTTATCCTCATAGCTTGGCTCATAAGGAGTTAGATGGCCATGTGCCCACTTTACAGATGAGGAAACTGAGGCAAAGAGCTGTTAGGTGATTTCTGATCAGAGGCTGTGACTGTCAGCTCCCAAGCTCGGCTCTGTCCTTCAACCTCAGTTAGATTCAGCAGGTTTGTTTGGTTCCTAACATGGTATGGGGAGGCCTCTGAGGACAGTGCTCTTATCCTGTTTGCTCATTACCCGGAACAGGACCAGCTAGAGTCCGTGCTGGAGGTCTTGCACAGACAGATGGAGCAGTACAGAGACCAGCCCCAGCACTTGGAGAAGATTGCCTACCAGCAGAGATTGCTGCAGGAGGACCTCGTGCACATTCGGGCAGAGCTCTCCAGAGAGTCCACTGTGCGTAGAGGGTGCGGAGGGCGGCAGGCACTTACCCTCAGGCTGCTTTTCTCCTCTGCCAAGCTATGGTTGAGTTGGTGGCTGGGAGCAAGAGTTTCAGAGTAACAGAACGTCTCCAAGCCACCTCTGGATAGTAGCTCACCTCGTTCAGGGGTGACATGTCTATCTCCACCTGTTCTTTAGCCTGCTGCAGTGCCACCCAAGGGGCCACATTTTTCAGAGCAGCCTGCAAGGCTGTTTCCTTGATTTGTGTGTGAATTTGAAGATGTCAGAATTTCCGCGTTTTCATCAGTCCTTCTGATGTGGTACAGACCCTTATGCCAGGGTCTGGAATCAAAACATCCCCAAGGGTGAAAGAGGAGACCATGTAGGTAACCAGGGTCAGAACATGAATGAGAAGATGCCACACTCCCCCTATATCTCCCCCACCAGGCCTTCCTGAGGCCCACTGAGTTCCCCTTCCCTTTGTCCCTGGCTGGGTCAGCAGTGGCCAGGAGCACAGGTGCGAGGTCTGCTGGGGGGCAGAGAATAACTAAGAACCAGAAGCATTTCCTTGGCCAGCAGGAGATGGAAAATGCCTGGAATGAATACCTGAAGTTGGAGAGTGACGTGGAGCAGCTAAGGCAGACCCTACAGGAGCAGCACAGAAGAGCATTTTTTTTCCAGGTAACCCAAGGGCTGTTCATTGCTCCTGAGCTCTGATTGCTTCTGAGAACCTTCACCTGTCAGTGAAGTGGGACTGTCAGCACTCCCCAGGGGCATTCTCTCCCTTGGCCTGAGACTGAGCCTGCCATCCACCTCTCTAAAGAGACCACCCAGGCTCTCCCTCAGGGATTCCTTCCCCTGTCCAGACTGTATTGAGAATCTTCACCCCAGCTCCCTCTACATTTCTGCCCTCAAAGACAAGTGCTTGGGCATTTTTGTAAGCGTTTTACTACTGGTCATTTCAGGAAACAGACCAGGGAGTAGACAAATACCAACCTTGAGAACCTTACAGAGACTTGAGAGAGATCTGTGTTCCTGTGGTTCTTGGCCCCCTCTTGGGTTCCTAGCTCCTCAATTAGACAGACAGCAGCAGGAAGTTCCTGCCTCCTTCCCATCTCTGATTCCTGATGATAGATGTTATCAAACCTCTACCTGAGGAGGTAGTGTGAATTCAGGTCCACTGAGGTGCTTCTGGTCTCCAGATGGTCATTTGCATTTCTGGAGACCAGGCTAGGTGATACCCATCTCTGTGACCCCTGCCCCATTCAGGAAAGGTGTCCTTGTTACCCTTCCTCCTCACAAGTCTTTCCTTTACCCTTAAAAACCAGGTCATCTCCTTGATAGCTGTCTCTGTCTCCCCAGGTGAGAGAATGAAAGGCCCTTTGGGGTTTCTCTTCTTCCATATTGGTTCCCCCAGCTGCCTGGCATTCCCCCATTGTGGGGAAATAAATTCAATTTATTTTAATTTAGCAAGCATTAATTAAGGCTAATTAATCAGCACAATTTTAGTGCTGGACTTGTTAATTGATGAACTAATTCTAGCCAAGATTCTTCATTCAAGTGATTTAATGAATATATTGACTCTCCAGAGATTAGCCTTAACCCAGAAGAGTGAAGGAAGTTCGGGAGGGGGTTTAGGGAGACCCTGTTCACTCAAAGATGATTTTCAGAAAGCCGACTCCAGTTTCACACAGAGGAGATGACACAGGGCTGGCCTTTGAGGTGCCTCAGAACTTGTCTCAGTCTCTGTTTTTTTTTTTTTTTTAATACCTTCATCTGAACTAACATTTTCCTTTTCTTTTTGTATCTCCAGCACCTAGCACAGTGGCTTGAAAACACTAGGTGAATATTATTGACAACATCCTTCAAACAATTATTTCTAGTTATCAGTTCTTTAACTGACTGCCCTGTTATGCCTGTCTTCCTGGACTCCAATAATCCACATTAATTTTAGCAGTAATTTTTTTTTTAGCTTTTTATTCCTTATGTTTCTGTAGTTACACAAAGAACACATGAAGACATCTCTTTGCAAAGGCTAAACAATGCAAAGCAAAAACAAAAAATGAGAAACAAAAGCTCTTCTTCCCACTCCTTTCTGCCTCCATCCCATCACGTTCCTTATAAGTAACCAGTGCTGTCAGTGTGCAGCATGGATTTCCAGACCATTTTTGTATGCATTTCCAAACTTATGCACATACATGGGAACATATTGTTTATTGGAGGAGGGAGGCAGGGAAAAGGTTTATTTAAAAAGGGTCATTCTTACATCTTGTTTGGCAACTTACTTTTTTGTCATAACTTTATGTCATGGAAACCTTTCCAGAAAAATACATATACCTCCAAGTTTATGCTGTCCAATACGGTAGCTACTTAAATTTAATTAAGATTACATAAAATTAAACATTTATGCCTCAGTGGGAAGTGGAGAGTTATTGCTTAATGGGTGCAGAGATTCTGTTGAGGATGATGAAAAAGTTTTAGAAATGAATTGTAGTAATGGTCGCACAACAATTGTGAATATAATTAATGCCACTAAATTGTACGCTTAAAAATGATTAAAATGACAAATTTTGTATATATTTTAATAAAAAAAATTTCATGGAGGGGGGATAATTAGGAAAAAAGTCTAATAAAAGTCTCCTTAAGGGGGCAATAATGAGAAAGGGTTGAGAAACAATGCTCTAGAGCTTGTGCTCTTAACTGCCATTTAATAATGCTTCTCGAGTTATTTTTTATTCTTAGAGAACAAATTGAAGGTGTAATCACATTTCATTAATAATGTGGACTCACAATCTACTAAACTATATCCGTTCTGAAATAGCTAGTTTTGCTAGCTCCAGTTAATCATATATTTATCAAATAAAACTTCATTTACTCTAAAAAAAAACTCGTGTATTTCAAATAACCAGTAAACAAAACATTAAGACTGATGCCTTTTTTTTTTTTTTGATAATGAAGTACTTACACATAAAAGCAGCCTAAATTTCTGTTTTGTAAAAATATATGCTGAAATAGGGATGTGGCATGATTTTTTAAAAAGTTTTATACCCCAGTCCCCTTAGCCACATTTCCAGTGCTAGTACAGATTATAGATTTCCATCATAGCAGAAAGTTCTGTTGGACAATACTGATCTAAGTAGTTCTTAATGGCTACGTAATATTTCATAGCCTGGATATTCCATACTTTATTTATCTATCCCTTTTGTGATGGATATTTAAGTTATTTCCATTGTTTTTGCTTTTATACACAGTGTTGCAGTAAGTATCCATATTACTGCCTTTTCAAGCTCGTTTACAAGCATTTATCTAAGATAGGCTCCTAGAAATGAATTTACTGGATTGAAATGTGTGAACATTTTGGTGTTGACAGATACTGCCAAATTGCCCTCTAAAAGGCTGCTAATTTACCCTTCCACCGACAGTGAATGAGAGTACTGAACCTGTTTGCCCACTTCCTCGCCAACACTTGATGTTATCAATCTTTTTAATTTTTGCCAGTCTGCTGATTGAAAAATGACTTCTTTTAATTTGCATTTATTTAATTACTAGCGATGATAAATATCTTTTCATATGGTTAGTGTCCATTATAATTCACCTGTGCATAGTTTTATGATAATTTAACATATAGCAGGCCCAGAATTGGTTTCTCCCTTTCCATAAAACAAATAAATACAATGTAATAGGCCAGCTGAGAGCCTGGTCTCTGGGGCTTGATTTCCACCTAGCCCCAGGGCATTGCTTATGCTTTTCCCTGAGTGCCACAGTGACTTGGGAAGTTCACAAAGCCTTGCTTTGAGCAGGTTCTATGCTGGCTTCTTTGGTGTAATCCTAGGCCAGGCAAGCTCTAGATAAATCATCAACACTGGAGAAGTGCTTGCAACCCAGTAGTGGGGCTTGGAAACTCACCTTTCTTTAGCCAGGTTTGGCTGTGAGAACGTTCATAACCTTTTCAGTAAAATAGGGTAGCTTTATTTATGAAGATCCTCACAGTTACCTGGGCAGGAATAGAAAATTTAGGGAACTGTTTGAGAGGCAATGATGAGTGAGGCTACCCGTAAACATTTCCATCCCTTCCTTCAGTCTGTGAGTTTAAGCTTTTGCTGAAGGTAGTACATAGAAGCCTTCCTGCCCAGCATGGTGTGAGGATGCAGGAATGAAACCCCACGCATCTGCTCCCCAGAAGCTCCCCTCACCTTGTAGTTAAAGTCTGACGTTCCATTGCCCTTGGGGAAAGATAGGTCCCTGAATGGCACAGGAGTTTGCACTCAACTACTACCTAAATGTTGGTGGTTTTGAGCCCACCCATTGGCACCATGGAGCTCTGATGGCACAGTGGTTAAGAGCTACGGATGCTAACTAAAAGGTCGGCAGTTTGAATCCACCAACTGCTCCTTGGAAACCCTATGGGGCAGTTCTACTGTGTCCTATAGGGTCGCTATAAGTTGAAATCGACTCTCGGCAATGGATTTGAGTGGCATCATGGAAGAAAGGCCTGATGATCTGCTTCCATAAAGATTACAGCCAAGAAAACCCCGTGGAGCAGTGCTACTCTGTAACATGTGAGATCGCCATAAGTTGGCCTTGACTCAATGGCAGTGGGTTTCATTTTGATTTTGGTGGAAAAAGGTTGGGGTTCCCTGGCCTTTGTGTCACTCTGCTCTACTCTTACATGTGGGGATGATGGAAAGGCAAAATGGGAGCAGGAGAGTAGACTGACAGGCCTTGCCAGAGAACTGTGGAAGAGGGAGAGGGTTGGCTTTAATTCCATGCTCCTTCACCTGCTCCCCAATATTCAGGGACCTCAGATCTACAGACAGTCCACTGTTAACTTATATACACTGGGTTCAATAATACACCTACCTGCTTTGGAGCACTCATACTTCAGTGTGAAGCTGAGTATCAAGCTCATTATTTGCTTGTCAGTTCTTACACTGTGTTTTGGTGTTGGGAAGGTGGAAAGAGTGTGAGCACGGGCACCTGCTTCGAATGGGAAGCTTTAGACATCTGTTGTCACCAGTGGAAAGTATTTGATCAGGGAGTTGTACTAGCTGATTCTTTATTCATCTCACATGTTGTTAGTTGCTGTCAAGTCATTTCCAACTCATGTGTCAGAGTAGACCTGTGCTCCATAGGGTTTTTAAGGCTATGACCTTTTGGAAGCACACTGCCAGTCCTTTTTTCTGAGGCACCTCTGGGTGGGTTTGAACCGCTCACCTTTCAGCTAGTAGTTGAGCACTTAACTGTTTGCCCACCCAGGGACTCCACTGCTAAGTACCAGGCCCTGTGGGGATGTCTCGTGGCACATAGTCTAGTTGCTGAACCTGGTGGGTCTGTAAGTAAGTATTGTGCAGTGCAAGAACTCTTCTGAGGTGCCTTAAGAGTAGAGGAAGTTGTGAAGCCTTGTTTTCCTTTAGTTAATGGGATAAAACCAATGTTATCACCCCATCATTATAATTTTAAAAATCAAAAGAAAAAAAGTACGTCTGATTTAAACAACCTATTAAAAGATGCCCACAACCCCTTGACTACAATGAGCCCCTGCTTACCTTTCTCTAGGGCCTCTTCTGATCTGAGTTATAACCTGTCAAAGTGTGCATATGATTATATAATCTTGGCTCCTTTCTCACTGTACTTTTTTTTAAATAACAGCTTTATTGAGATACAATTTTCATGCCATAAAATTTACCTTTTAAAGTGTATAATTAGTGGTTTTTAGTATATTCACAGAATTGTGCAACCATCACCACCAATTTTTTTTTTTTTTATATTTTATTGTACTTTAGATGAAGGCTTACAGAACAAATAGTTTCTCAGGAAACAGTAGTACACATGTTGTTTTATGACATTGATTAACAACCCCACAACATATCAACCTTCTAACTTCTCAATCTTTTTT